CTAATTGAACTCAGAACCAGCAACTTGCAACCTGGTGAGTGGGGGAATCGCCTCGACATTTAGAAAATTTTGAAGACTGCGCCCTATAAAGCCCCTATAAACGCCCTCAGTACCCCTAAACTCTAAACCCTAAAACACTTTACCCGATAGCATCCCCGTACTGCCCAGACAAAACCGTTAGTACCCCTAAACCCTAAATCCTAAACCCTAAACCCTAAACCCTAAACCCTAAACAAACCCAGGGGTCAGAGTTGTTGCTCCTGCTTCGTGCCTCGGTCAACTCGTAGGTGGCGCGAGTGAAGCTCCGCCCAACACCTCGCAAGGAGGCGACTTGTGCGCGGCTGTCCCAAACTTAGGGGTTTTTGGGCTTTAGGGGGTACTATGGGGCTGTCCCAAAGTTAGGGTTTTTGGGCTTTAGGGGTTGAGGGTGGAGGTCTGCCCAAAACCTAGACGACTGAACCCCAAGCTGTGTTGTTGAGTTTGTTAGTTCTTGGGGAATGAGGCATCACATGAAGCCCTATAGAATCCTTCCAGGCGCTATACAGGGCACCAAACTCCCTCATTCCCTACTCATCTCCAGCAAGTCAACCAAGAGGCGCCAGAGAGCAGCCAAGGGGCGGTATCCACCCCCAGGCCACTGAAGCACAAGTGGATCGAACTCGACTGGGCCGCAGTGGTCTTGGGTTGAGGCTGGGAAATAGGGATTATGGTACCCCCCTGTTCATATCCCTGCTAAGGATTGCTAGTATATGGGGGAACATCCCAAGTTAAGGGGTTGGCACTTACCTTGAAGCTCTAAGATGTCTCAAGGATTGGCAAGAACCTGCAAGATGCCGCATGCCGCGCCTGTGCATCCTAGGGTGCCAATTTCAGCAAGGCCAGGCGCCCAATGCAGGCGAGACACTTGGCACGGCATCCTGCAAGATTCTGTTGAAGAGGGAGCCGACTAAGCGGCGGTTTAGGGTTTAGGGTTTAGGGTTTAGGGTCGGTTCTCTCAAGGGAGCAACTACCAAAGGCGCCCCCTTGGAAGGCATGGCCTTGCATGAAAATCTCGCGAAGTTGTGCAGCTGTATAGCGCTGCAGTTCAACCCTAAACCCTAAACCCTAAACCCTGAACCCTAAACCCTAAACCCTGAACCCCAAACCCTAAACCCTAAACCCGAAACCCTAAACCCTAAACCCTAAACCCCAAACCCCCGTTTGGGCCCACTGAGGGCGCCTCCACCACCTCTCGTGCGCCTTTGGCGGGGCCCGGGGGTAGCGGCGACAGCCAGGGGACGAGCACCAACCTCAGTCTGAGGGTTGCAGGGGCTAAACTCACCGCGGCTTAGGGTTTAGGGTTTAGGGTTTAGGGTTTAGGGTTTAGGGTTTAGGGTTTAGGGTTTAGGGTTTAGGGTTTAGGGTTTAGGGTTTAGGGTTTAGGGTTCAGAGTTTAGGGTTTCGGGTCTGTTAGAAGCGTTCTAGATTCTTAGACGTACTCCTCCTACACCCTAAACCTAATCATCCCGAAAAGATCACAAGGGGACAATCGACCTTCGCACTCGACCCGCCTCGTTAATAGAAAAAACGCAACGCAGCGCCTAATTCACAAGAACAGTCGTGCAGCCGTAGCGTATCTCACCAAATAGGGGTACAGTACCACATGTGTAATTACCCACATACAATATCTGTATCACAGGAAAGCCGCGAACCGAACCGCAAACCGGAACCGAACCGCCATGAACCGCACGCGCAAAGGAACCGTGTGAACCGTGAACCGCCGAAACCGCGACAAACACGAACCGCCATGGAACCGAACCTCAAGCCAAGGCCTTAACCCCTCCAGCCAAACCAGCAGCCCTCCCGAACCGAACCGAACCGCAAGCCGCAGCGAACCGCATGAACCGGAACCGTTCCAGAGTATGTAGCGGAAACCGAAACGAACCTACACGAACCGTGGCCTTACTGATATCAGGAGCTTCCGAAACAGGGCACCCTAATGTTGGGAAGGCCGAAATAGCACGACGGAGAGGATTAGGTAGTCTGGGTAGCGTTGCAATATGGAGCTTGCGCAGGAATTGTAGGGGATCATGTGTTTGAGATTGTATGAGATTGTCTAGTCTGCGTACTCAGCCGCGTGGTTCATATCACCTCATCCCCAGATCCACAAGCCCTGTGGCCCATCTCGCATGAAGACCGCGACCGAGCGACGCTAGGAAAGCTTGGAACTTCTGGTACCTGGGGGGCAGGGCGTGCTCTTCTAAGGGGCCCATGGACTTCCCTTTTCTTTGGTTTTGTGGCTTGGAAGGAATGAAGAAAGGCCACGATGGGATTAGGAAAGAGGCTGGATAGGACAAGCAAAAGGAGCAAGAAAAGAACTGCAGCGATTTGAAAGTGGAACTCCGTATCAGCGGCTCAAAACACAGCTTCGGAAGAAAGGGTCCGAAAAGAACCAGCAAGGGTGGGGAAGGGACCCGCAACTCGAGTCTGCTAGAGGGCCATGAAGGCAAAGATCATTTTCAAGGCCTAAATGCAGAAGAGGGTGCCCTTGTTGGTGAAAAACATGGGGTCTAGACGGGAAGCTGACCTCATGGGACCCTTGTCTACCCACAGCGAGAGAAGGACCTGATTTGAGTCGTTCAGGTGGGGTCGTCCCTAAACCCTAAGCCTTAAAATTCTGGCAACCGTGAATAGGAGTACTACTGGGCACCAGGGAGCTCACAGCGTTAACGTCCCGGGAGAGCTCCTGTTCCTGCGCTTATGCGCATGTCAGTCTCGAATCCTGAAATGCAAACTCTTCGGGTGGGTTTAGGGGTTTAGGGCTTCGGCTTCAGGGTTCCCCCTAAACCCTAAACCCTCAACCCTAAACCCCAAACCCCAAACCCTAAACCCCAAGGGCTTAAGGCTTTAGGGCTTATAGGGCTCCCCTAGCGCACCCAGTTCTTCCAAGGCGCTGCTGTGCCAACCTGGGCCAGTGGAGCACCTCAGCACTTGAACACTCGGGTCTTTAATTGGTATAATACATGGGGATTAGAGTTTAGGGTTTAGGGTTTAGGATTTAGGGCTTGTGGTATCTTATATTCTGTTCTACTATTTGAGCTATGTTGCGCTATATCCACACCCATTGCATGTAGGTATCACGTATACGTGGCCCCTCCCCCCCCCCCCCCCCGACATATATGACGATGTTCAGCAACCCGGATTAGGCAGACGAAAATTTTGGGAGCACTCCTTAGGAGTGAACGATACAAGGCCTGGAAACTTAAACAGGTCCCCTTTTTTGCCCTTTGAAAAAGAGGACGATAAGCCCGCAAGTCCGAGAAAAGAGCCCCACAGCCCTTTTGACCTGCAGAGGCGCGAAACGGTCGTCCATGATGTCGCGCGAGTACAGCTTGCGGAGAACTTCCTCACAAAGGGCTCTTAAGTTCTTAGGGTGTGTAGGAACCTGAGATGGGCATGCCAGCCTCTAAACTGCTGATCGAGTATCGGGGGATGACCCTTCAACCCCCAAACCCTAAACTCTTCTGAAGCTCGCTTGGGGCCTGCTGCGCGGACAAAGACGCCGGAAGGTTGTCTGCCTGGATGGCAGGCGCAGCTTATGACCTAACTCCTCACTCAGAACCAGTGAGCATAAGCATAGGCATTAGGGCTTGAGTTCACGGATTGACGGTGCGACAACCCTAAATCCTAAACCCTAGAGTTATACCCTCTAGACCCTAAACTCAAACCCCACCGGTACGACCATCAACCCTTAGCAGAGTTGATGCCCTAACCTTTCAAAGTTCTACAGAGGTTGGGGTTTAGGGTTTAGGGTTTTAGGGTTTAGGGTTTAGGGTTTTAGGGCTTTAGGGCTTTAAGGCTTTAGGGCCTGTAGGGAGAGGGGAGGGGTGCACCTGCAGGGGCTCCTCTGAGGCGGTACGCTCCGCCACGTACGGCAGAGGGGAAACGGTCCTGAAGAGATGCCAAGGAACGAGGCGAGGACTCAGGAGGGGCCCGAGACCCAAGCATTTTGTATATGTATATGTATATGTATATGTATATGTATATGTATATGTATATGTATATATATATATATGTGCACAAAATACGTGCATCTTCTGTTCATATCCCTATACATACATACAAGTATCTGTATGTCCATAGGGGCTATGTCGGGCTACTTAGGTACGTACCCCCAAACCGGCTGGGCTCTTCCAAGACCGTGCGCAAAAAACCCCAAGTTGGCTTAACAGCCGCCCACCGAGTTCTGAGCTACTGTATAATGGCCTTACTAATTAGAATAGGGTTTTGGGGTTTATTATCCCTCACCCTAAACCTAAACCCTAAACCCTAAACCCTAAACCCTAAACCCTAAACCCTAAACCCTAAACCCTAAACCCTAAACCCTAAACCCCTGTATTACGCAGGTCTGTCATTCTGTGAAACCTCCTTTGTTCAGTGTCTTCTGGACCAGGCAGCTGGGGGCCTCTGAAAAGTATTTACCTGGGCTGGGCTGAGCCGCCCGTGCTCTTGCTTCTTGTTCTAGGCTGCCCAGTAACCTAGGCTTAAAAAGGGTGCCCTTTTTTGCTTAAAGGGGTTTATAAGGGAACCTAAACCCCCCAAAAAAAGGGAATAAGGGTACTACTGGGCATCCTAGTGTTGCCCCGGGAATGAAAAAAGCCCTATCAACGCCCTGCCCAACGCAGAAGCCTCCGCAGCCTATCCTAAACCTTGACGCCTCGACCTCCAACCCTAAACCTTAGCCATAAACCCATAAACCCATAAACCCATAAACCCTAAACCCTAAACAACCCTAAACCCTAAACCCTAAACCCTAAACCAGCCCAAAACCTATCTGCAAAAAAAAAAAAACGACTCGGCCGGGCTTCAGGTTGCCCACCAGAACGTCGCAGCCAGGGCCGCCATCTTGGCAGGGCGCCACAAACATGTGGTGAGCGGTCCTTGACTTTGGATGCGGGTTGGGGGGTTGGGGTTTAGGGGGGATTTAGGGGGGTTTAGGGGGATTTAGGGGGGTTTAGGAGGATTTAAGGGGATTTAGGGGGATTTAGGGGCTTTGGGGGTTGAGGGCCTTGCTCTCGCCTCAGAAAGCCTTATAACTCCCCCCTTCAATACCCTCAAGCCCCCCCCAAAAAGCCCTTGTGCCCGAAAATGAGCGCGAGCATCTGGATGGCTCGCAGCAGGGTGCTGGAAGCAATGAAGTGGAGGCCTTGGGCTGATCTTTAGGGGGCCAACCCTGGGATGTTCCCCCTTACTAGTTCATTGTTGGCATAATACAACAAATGTGAGTTGTTATTCCTTCTTGGGTTTAAGTTCCCTTAAACATGTAAGATGTTACCCAACTATGACAAAGCTTTTTCTGACAGTCCTTAGTCGGAATTATAGTATCCCCCGTGTTAGAATCCCGATTAAGGATGGTTAGTATCAGGGAGAACATCCCAAGGCCAACCGTTCATGGGACCAGGCATTGATGTAGGGTTGAAAGAGGGTGTATATCTGGTGCGCGGCTTGCCCCCCAACCCCCCAGGTGAGGTTTCCCCGCTGTGCTTGGGGTGGGGGGCTGAGTTTCGGATATAGGGTGGGTTTAGGGCTTGGGTTTAAGCGTTTAGGGGGTTTAGGGGCTTTAGAGTTTAAGGGTTTTGAAGGTCTGGTGGTTCTTGTTTGAGTGGTTTTGGGTTTTGAAGTTTCACAGGTTTGTTCAGGGTTGCCTGAGGTGCCGCGCTGGATCATCGCTAACTCACGCAGCGAAGTCCCGACAAGGAAAGAACGCGTGGGTTTTAGCTTAGGGTTTGGGGTCGAGGGTATAGGGTTTGAGCTTTGCGTGAGGGCTTTGGGTTCAGGTGGGGGGGTAGGGGAGGTTGGGTTTCAGGGTTTTAGGGTTTTCCATGTTTGTGGGTTTTGCCTAAGGCTTTTAAGAGCTTTACTGGCTTTGTGAAAGGTGGGAAGTTGTAGTGTGCTTGTATTGAGCACACGCGGCCCAAAAACGGTTTTGGAGGTAATACAAAGAGAACAGAACACCTCTCACCAAGGCCCCCTTAATAACCGTATCATCCTGGAAGCGCCTGTCACCCTAAACCCTAAACCCCAAACCCTAAACCTTAACAGTTCACACATTTGGAATCGCAACCGCTCTCTCCCTTCTCCCTGTCAAACCTTGAGACCCTGTTTACGCGTGGGAAGCACGTACTAAGTTGACTGTTCACCGACTAACCAATCTAAGATGGAGATACTATAGGGTCTCTGGGTACTAGATTCAAGTTCAGTCTGAACATTGATTTTGCACACTTTCACGGTTTTTTTTCAACTCGTTTTTTTTGCCTAGAGCACAGAAAAAGTGTTTCGTAGCATCTCATTTTTCTATGTCTGACCCTTAGACAGATCATTTGCAGTCCGTGAGGCGTATGTTCTGCTCCGCAAGCCACTTGAGAAACACCCGGCCGGCCTGGATCTTGCGGCAGAATTCCGGTTTCGGGTTTCGGGTTTAGGGGAGTTCACATCAGCTAGGCCCAAGAATAGCCTGTAAGAATGAGAAGGGTAACCTTTTTGGCATTCAAGGGCGTTAGCAAATGAGGTCCCCCCCCGCAAAGAAGAAAAACAAAGCAGGGAATACAGGTTCTGCTCTGCATTCTGGACTCAGTACCTGCAACACTCGGGGGCGTTCCAGCGCTGCCTTAACATCCGGAATGGGTTTAGGGTTTACGGTTTAGGGTTTAGGGTTTAGTAGGGTTTAGGGTTTAGGGTTTAGGGTTTAGGGTTTAGGGTTTAGGGTTTAGGGTTTAGGGTTTAGGGTTTAGGGTTTAGGGTTTAGGGTCCGCCGACCCTGGCGGCGTGTTGGATGGGAAAAGGAGGTGAAAACCTCCCTCTTTCCCTCCTTACCCCCCAAACCGCGGGAAAGGGGGGGGGTAGGGGGGGGTCCCCGGGCAGCTCATGGAGGGCCAGGCCACCCACACGGCATAAACTCACGGACCATAGGCGGTTTCGCACAGGACATAGGGGCCCTTTGGGCAAAAGCCACCCCAACCCCCCCACCCCCCCCCCCCCCCCCCCCCCCCCCCCCCCCCCCCCCCCCCCCCTACCCCCCCTAGGCTGCCCTCCTTCAAGCTGGCTTCAGCTCCTGTTTGGGTCCTGGTGCTACCCCCTACCCCCCCCCCCAACGTTTCACAGAGGCTCAAGCAAATCAACTTTTGGCATCCTTTGAGCTGACGAGCGCGTTTAAACCTTTCAACTATGCTCCAGCGGGGTCGGCGGCTTGAGCCGGAGGCTCTTGAATTTAGGGTTTAGGGTTTCGGGTTTAGGGAGGCCATGAGCGGACCCTCGCCTTGCAAAGACGCGCCCGAAACCGTAAGGACCAAAAAGCAGCCCCGTAGACCCTAGTGGGTGCTTCTGTAAAGTAGGGTCCCTTTTTTTTGGGTGGGTCCCCTTTATGTAGCATGGCGCCCCTGAAAAGAAGGATGCCAAGAAAAACCCGAATTTAGAGGCCTACCCTGTTGCTTAGGTCCGAGGAGCGTTCTCGGACTGCTTCATTGAGCAGTCCGTGATCAAAGGATCCAGGAGCAGGTGGTGCAGCTTTGTCTCCTTGGGCTGGGAGTCTTTGGGGGCTGTGAGTTTAGGGTTTAGGGTTTAGGGTTTAGGGTTTAGGGTTTAGGGGCGGGTGTCTCCTCGCGTTTCGGCTTTGGGGTCTTCGGGGAAATTTCGGGCCTACATTGGAGGTTCATGGGCGCTTCTCACCCCACCTAGAAGTTGACTTGCCTTAAGGGGGCTTATAAGTGCAGTTATAGTAGGGGCTTCTAAGTACACTTATAGTTGGGGTTGTTAGTAACCAGAACCCGGGACCTCGAAGTAGACCCTAAACCCTAAACCCCAAACCCAAATCCTCCAAGCAGGGTTGCCCCATTGTGCCAACCCAGACCCCGACCATCACAAGGACCAAAAGAACTCCACGAACCTAGGCTTGGGGTTCCCACTGCCTGAAGGCCTCCTCGACCCTCAACCCCTAAATAAACCCTAAACCCTCAACCCTAAACTCTAAACCCTCAACCCTAAACCTTCAATCCTAAACCCTAAACTCTAAACCCTAAACCTTCAATCCTAAACCCTAAGCCCTAAACCAAAATCCCTTAAGAGATGTAGAAGCTCTTGGCCAAGGCACAAACGAGGTACCGTTCGACAGCCGCACCTGGAGAGGACTCACGGGCTCTGACTGCACGCACAAAGGGGAGATCTTTCTTTAGCTTCTCGAACTACTAGTCGCCCTTATCAGGAAGAAGACCTTCTTTAACTACTAACTGCTTAAGAACCCTATATGGCCCTTAAAAGGAAGAATATCTTTCTATGGTCTTAAGAACCCTATGTTGCCCTTATAAGGCAGAATATCTTTACATTTTTGGGGCGGGCTCTTCAGCAATTAGTGGTGAACGAGGCTCCTCTCTCCAAACTGCGCTTGCAATATCTGGGGGGGGGGGCAAGAGAAGCTTGACCGCTCTCGCCCAGGCACCGAAAACGCCTAAACCCTAAACCCTAAACCCTGGACCCTAAACCTTCAACCCAAAACCCTAAACCACGTAGTTGGTAGCATCGCGCGGCAAGTGCCTTTGCCTAGGGCTCAGGGCCTAACCAAATCCTTCGAAAGGGCTACTCCCTCTAGCTAGGGTGTAGGGGAGCTACCCTAAACCCTAACCCCCCCTAAACCCTGAACCCTAAACCCCCTTAAACCCCAAACCCCAAACCCTGAACCCTAAACCCCCCTAAACCCCAAACCCCAAACCCCAAACCCTAAACCCTAAACCCAAAACCCTAAACCCTAAACCCAATGTTCCAGAATACTCCTAAGGCTTGGCTTCCCTACAAAGAATCCCCGGTAACGACGGAGCCCTCCCTGAAGAACACTGTTAGAAGAGATATTTGAGGCACAGGGCGAGGGAGAGAGAACCTCCACCTACCCAAGCCCCCAAAAAGCCCTGTTCACCCAGGGTTTAGGGTTTAGGGTTTAGGGTTCTGCAGCCCTGCGGCTCTCACCCCAACAACCCTGCAGTGGATTCCCCTCAGCCCTCAAGTATGCCCATCAACAAGTAACAGCGAAGAGGCCGTTTACCAAGACTGGTGTCTTGGCAATTAGAATAGGGCTTCTGGGGGCTGACTACTAACACAGTGGCCTTAGCAACTCGAATAGGGTTTTGGGGGCTGATTCTTGTCGAATCATGATAGGGACCACAGGGAAAATACCGTTTAGGTCGTTCTTCCGGCCCCCTATACTAGTTTTGAGGACAACATCGGGCTATCAGAAGGTAGGATCCCGGCCTTCACAGTGCAATCCTTGCCGTGGGGCGGTCCTCATAAATGCTGAGGTTTAGGGTTTAGGGTTTAGGGTTTAGGGTTCAGGGTTTGGGCTTTGTAGGGGGAGGATTTCAAAGGGCCTCATTAAGGGCTTCATTTGGCTAAGTGTTCGTTTAGGCTTTATGCTCATGGCTGTTAAGGCTTAGGGCTAGCCCTAAACCCTAAACCCTAAACCCTAAACCCTAACTCCTAGACCCTAAACCCTATCCCTAAACCCTTGGTGCAGGGGCCCTTCTTTGACTTGTAGGGGAGAACCCCCGAGATGTTTGCAACAGGCCTGCAAGTTCCAGTTCGAAGGTTTAGCTAGGGCATTAAACCCTAAACCCTAAACCCTAAACCCTAAACCCTAAACCCTAAACATGAGGGTATAAAGGGTAGATAGAAGGCTTCAGGACATCAGGGTTCACGCGTTTCGGGTTCACGGGTTTAGAGTTCAAGGTGCAGTGAGACGTCTGCGCGGCTGGGCCTTGCTACATCCTAAACCCTAAACCCTAAACCCTAAACCCTAAACCCTAAACCCTAAACCCTAAACCCTAAACCCTAAACCCTAAACCCTAAACATGAGGATCTTACTGCAATGGAATCTCTCTTCAGAGCCATCACGGATAAAGGCAGCCCTGAAACACAGAAACCCCGAGCCCTAAACCCTTCACCCTTATGCCCTCAAACCCTCGACCCAGAAACCCCCTAAAACCCTCAACGAACGTACCCGTAAACCCTAAAAACCCTAAACCCTGCGGTGAAGCTGCTGCTTGGTGGCGAGGGCGAATGCCAAAGCTGGGGTCCAGAGTCGCGTGGCGGGCGTCGGGCAGCACATAGCCGGGCCTTGAATTGGCGAAGACCCAAATAACGGGGCTTCGGGAGGTCGTTCTTGTGGTCGGTTGACCCTAAACCCTAACCCCTAAACCCTAAACCCTACCCTAAATCCTAAACCCTAAACCCTAAACCTTAAACCCTAAACCCTAAACCCTTTCTTGAGTTGGGGGAACAAAGGCCGGCGACTTGATTTGATCGGACCTCAAGGCGCCCCGAAACTTTTTCAGCCTGGGCCTCGTACACTGGATGTTGGAGGCCCACAATAGGGGCCAATCTGATTGGAGTCTGTGACGGTAGGATTTAGGGTTAGGGTTTATAGAAATTGTATGGGGTTCAGGTCTGAAGTCTTGGGCGAAAGTTTTGGGCGGGTTTCGCCTGGGGCGGGTTTGCGGCTGCCTGTTCTTGACGTTTTTGAGGGGGTGAGGGGGGGGGGGGCTTGGGTTTGCTTGTGGGGGGGGCTTTGAGGGTTTCGGTTTTTGCTTGGGATGTTGGTGAGACTGGCGTGAAGACATACAATTGTTTATTTACACAGGTCTTGAGACATTCGGGTTTCAGCTGTAAGGTTTAAGGGCTCCCTAGAACAAGTTCGCGAATCGCTAGAGAAGATTCTTCTCGGATCTCCCACTCAGAGCATGCGCACGGCAAGCACCGCGTCCTAAACCCTAAACCCTCAACCGCCTTAAAACCTTAAAACCTTAAAACCTTAAAACCTTAAAACCTTAAAACCTTAAAACCTTAAAACCTTAAAACCTTAAAACCTTAAAACCTTAAAACCTTAAAACCTTAAAACCTTAAAACCTTAAAACCTTAAAACCTTAAAACCTTAAAACCTTAAAACCTTAAAACCTTAAAACCTTAAAACCTTAAAACCTTAAAACCTTAAAACCTTAAAACCTTAAAACCTTAAAACCTTAAAACCTTAAAACCTTAAAACCTTAAAACCTTAAAAACCTTAAAACCCTAAACCCTAAACCCAAAACCCTAAACCCAACTACCCTAAACCCTCGAGCCCTGACCCTGCAGAGCCCCTGCAGAAGTTCTGAGGGTTTCGCGTCGTTGACAGTGCTCGCGACGAGAACAGAAGCCCTGAAGTCCCCCCGAACATGAAGTTTAGAATTTAGGATTTCGTAGCAATCAGAATAAAGATGGTACCAATGATAACAACAATATTGAAACCATCGTACCAATGATAACAACAATATTGAAACCATCGTGTATGTAACAAAAACGCGAACTGCGTGCTGCTCAGGCACAGGGCTTGCCTCGGCGTCACACAGTGGCTCAGGGTCTCTGGTGGAGGATAACCCAATCGCAAAGATTTAGGGTTTAGGGCTAAGTCCTAAAACCCCAAACCCTACAAGGAGCCCTAAATACACTCACCAAGAGCAGTAACATGAACCCTTATTTCAACGTACTTCCCTGAAGATCTTAGAGCCTTAGACCTACAGACATTTGGAGGGCGCGAGCGTTTTGTGGCTTACTGCGCAACACTTTTCCGGCCTCAAGGCTCAAAGGGCCCTATGTCTGCGGACAAGAGCCCAGAGTGAGAAGAGTTACTCCCCGACTAAGGGGTAATGACCTTGTGACGAAGAAGGAAGTGGGTCTAAAGAGTTCGACTTGACCTCGGCTCGGGTTTAGGGTTGAGGGTTGAGGGTTTTAGGGGGAAAACAGCCAGGTAAGACCAGGCATTCTTCACAAGACACGAGAGGTTTCGGGTTTAGGGTTTAGGGTTTAGGCGTTCGGGCCTGGGGTTCGAGGCTTAGAGATGTTGGGGGAATTTATGAATCACCCGACCTGTTGAACTCCCGAATGCCGAATTTCCCCTCAAGCCCGACCACCCTATGCCCAAGGTTCTTGAGGGCCAAACCTAATCTAGACCCTACATCCCGAAAACGTAAGGGTTTGGAGGCCTCAACCCTTCAACCCTTCAACCCTTCAACCCTAAAACCCTAAAACCCTAAAGCCCTAAAGCCCTAAAGCCCTAAAACCCTAAAACCCTAAAGCCCTAAAGCCCTAAAGCCCTAAAGCCCTAAAACCCTAAAACCCTAAAACCCTAAAACCCTAAAACCCTCAAACCCTCAAACCCTAAAACCCTAAAACCCTAAAACCCTAAAACCCTAAAACCCTAAAACCCTAAAACCCAAAACCCAAAACCCCCATTTGAAGGACTAACTCGATGCCGGGGGACAGGGCAGCCTGGAGCTCAGGAAGCAGGGCCTCAGGAGCTGGAGCTTACGTAAGGCTTTGAAGGCTTTTAGGGTTTGTAGGGTTTGCAGGGTGTAGGGTATTGGGTTTAGGGGTTAGGGTTTAGGATCCCTGGGGGCTTTGAGGGCTTGTGGGGGTTTGGAGGAACTTAGGGTTTGGGGTTTAGGAGT